AGTTGAGGCACCGCTGGGAACAGCAGCTCTGAACAGACCTGTTTAAACAGAAAAAAAAGAGTCAAGGGTGCTGAACTTGAAGAACAAATTGGTACGCTGCCTGCAGTTCAAGATGCCAACTTGAATCTCCAGCCCTTCCCTTATCCCACACAGCAAAGAGCTTAGTGGGGGCAATCTCATTAAGTGACTGCATTAATCTTTTGAGGCAGAAAGATCAGCTATTTAGTTAGTGTATTACAGCTATTGTGTATGCTCATTCCACCAAACCACACTGGTATGTGTTTGTACAATGCCTTTGTCAGATCCCATCAGATATGGGATGAACAACTAACAAAAACCAAAGGAAAGTCCTACAATAATTAGAAATATAAGATGTTATATGGGAAAACCCAATTAGACAAGTTGTTCAGTCATGCCTGATTACCTATGCAGAGAAGAAACCCTTACCCAGGATTCAGCTCTGCAGCAGAGGACTGTTTCATTACACAAAGCAACCGCTTGAGAAATTAAACTTCCTCAAGTGCAGTCATACAGGGTTTCTTCATCACAGAAAAACTAAGTCCATTAGCAGCTGCTTAAGAACAGGAACCAAGGCCTTGTTAACCCCGAGTTTGCCAGTGCTATCCCAGTTTGAGCTCAGGTCAAGGGGAAGAAGGCAGGTTGCACTGTTTGGATTAATACTTCTACAGTTTAGACTACAAAAAGCAGCACACTTAAAAATCATTCCACTGTAAAACTGCCTCTCCAGTTCTATCTGAAACAGAAAACAAAACAATTTAGAGCTAAGGACTCACCCTTGTTGGTGTAGAGGTCTACCTCAACAGTGGGATTCCCACGGGAATCAAAGATTTCACGGGCATGGATCTTGAGAATGGACATCTTGAACACCTGAAAAAGTGCAATATTAGTTTATATTGTGCAGCATCATCTGCAGTCATGAGAACAGCTCAGAAACTTCACATCATATCAAATAAGAAAACTTTTAATACTTGATTAGTCTCACATCAGGAGGACAGGAATCTCAACCTGGGCAGGAAGAGCCATCAAAAAGCAGCAGCCTCGTTTCCAGGGTCTTAAAGGAATGTCACCACTTACCATATAAAAGCAGCCAAGTAATCCCAATACAGGAAATTTCTGCAGCTAGTTAAGAATTCTTTTTGATAAAAGACTCGAGGGCAACAGCTCTTAGTATGCACAGCAGCTGTTCAGAGCTGAATGTAACCTATCTTGAAATAGCAACAGACTGCTTCGTTAGAGCCATGGCTCTAAGTTATGCCCTTTCTTGAGAAGAACATCTACAGGAATAGCCTTTCCTCTTAAAGAGAAGAAAAAAATCACTACAGTCCTATGAATACCGCCCTCCCTCCCCCCCCCACCTATATATTTTTTACTTAATAAAAGTGCAGTAAGGAATGCCTTATGTAAGCTCAGCTATATTTTAAAAATCAAGTCAAGACAAATGCCTGTGAGCCACGGGCTAGCACCAAACTAGTTCATCTGCAGAGAAGCGAGCTCAGCCTCAGAAGAACCATCTGGAAGCTGGCTTCTGGCAAGCCCGTGTGGGTGGAAACCCTGCATACGGGAACAGTCACGAATCACTCATTACCGAGAAGTTCCGATGAGAGGCTCTCAGAAAGCCTGCTGCTTGCAGAGAGCTTCCTACCCTTATTCCTGCTGCGCAGCAAAGTCCTCTCCCTGCGTTAAAGGCATGGGCAGCCATTTGTTCACCCCCTTGGGTTCAGTGTCCCTTCCAGCTGCCCTGCCTCTCAGCAGGGGATCACGCAAGGCAGCTCAGGTATTTTAGGTATCGTCTGCTTTACTGTAAGACCCACACACTGACAGATGATATGACTGTCACAAGAAGCAGAGCAAGCTAATTCAATCTGGCCTCCGTGCTGCTGCTGCTTTAATCAGGGAACACACAAGCCTGCAATAAATCCCTGCAACTCCTGTTATCAGTCCCATCCACATAGACATCTCTGCACTTGCTCCAAGCAATGCCCAATATGAGCAGCCTGCATTTATCTGAAGAGGGCTTTCACAGCTTTTTAGGCTAGCACTTACGCCTTACTTTCCTTTTCAGAGCCACAGATTTGCCACAGAACGCGAGCTGCACTACTCTGAGGGCAGAGGCAGCTCACTAGGAAGGCTTAGTGCAATGCAGTAATGCTTCCTTGCCTTTACACAGGTGTCACTCCAGCAGCACACACTGCTGGAGCTTCCATCTGTAGCCCACATCTGACACTACCCGAGTGTCCTTGACAAACAACCTCCCCAGCAGTCCCTCCCTTTTCTTTAGGGGGAGGCATTTCACCGCTCCTTCCAGAAATTCCTCACACTTCATTTGGTTCATTTTGCAAGCCCCCTCCCTTCTGTGTTCAAGGAACAGTTTTCTCACCGTGTTATTCCTAAACCTGAGGGTGTTTAGCTCCTCACAGGCTGAGCGAGGAGTGTTCTGCCTCCCTCTCTGCAGAGAGCTCAGCTCTAAAGCGAGAGCTGCCCCTGCACAGATCTGGCTGTGGAAATGCTAACTGCACACAAGCTTGAAAAGAGCTCATCAGTAGCACTGCCTGCCCCAGACCTTTGTACTTTGTGATGGAGCAAGCCAAACACAAGCAAATACTGGAGGGGCATTTTATGCACGTCCTGCCTCAAACCTTGTTTTGTGCTACAGTCTGCTGGCAAGGTCAGTGTCTCCTTTCGGGTGAGGAGCCACATACACCAGCTCCGTGCCCTTCCCAAGGGCACCCACGTTGTCGTTGTTAGCTATTGCAAGGCTAAGCTACAGCCCAAGGCACCACTCCCAAATCTGAGAACTGCCTCCACCGTCAACTCAGGTCCAAGAAATCCACTCCTACCTGATGCTGTGCTCCGCACAGGAAATGCAGCACTACCAATGCAAAAGCTGAACTCAAAGGAGGTATTTTGCAGCCTCATTACTCTTAGTTAAGAGAGTATTAAGAAGGTTGGAATGGAGAATTAAAACCAGCAGTAGTTTGGCCAGAAAGAACTACCCTGGTTAGTTGAAAGGTCTTATTACCCAACTACCACACAGTTTCCATAGATGCTGTAGGACTGCAATTCTCACACCATCACTGCTCTGAGAAAAATAACCTTAGACCTTGACTTCACTGCATCAGCTCCTAACACTGGAGAAGCACGCCTAAAAAACAGGCACGTGGGGACCACCAGAGGCACCTCCTGCTCTCCCCCTCGGTGCTCCACGTGGTGGTTACCTCACGCAGCACGAAGCAAGGGCAGCGAGGTGTGTGAAACAAGCCCGGGGCGCGCTGCGCCACTTTCCCCTCTCCTTCTCCAGCAAGATGGAGGAGGCCTCGCACCGCCTCGCCTCCGCCCGGGGCTTGGATGACCAACTCCGCCGCTTCCTGCCAGGCTCCCGGTGACTCAGCAGCGTGTAACGGCACAGCGGGGCCCCCACAGCCCCCCCTGCGGCCCCACACGACGCCAGCCGCCTAAAAAAAACGATTTTTCTCCCACTTTACTCCTGGAGATGCGCACTGAGCCTGCGAGGTGCTGCCCCCCGCCCACTCTCCCTCAATATAACCACGATTTAACCCCACGGAGGCACCCAGCAACCAGCACTGAGGGCCTATGAGGGCCTAACGCCAACATTTACCCCTCAAAGCTGACAGACACCTCCCGCTGCCGCCCAAACCCGGCCCAGCGGCTGCGTAACGACACAAACACCCACGTTAAACCGTGCCCAAGGCCCCCGCCCCGCTACCCGAGCCCCCCGGAGCCGAGGACCCTCTGAAGGGGGCAGGGGTCCCGTGAGGCGCCGCCGCCGCGCTCACCCCGCACCCGTTCCGTTCCGCCGCTGACTGGGAAAGGACCGTTGCTCCGCCGCCCGCTTATATACCCTCCGTACCACCGCTCCTCCCTCCCCTCGCCTCCTATTGGCCATCTTCGCCCCCCACCCGTTCCCTATTGGCCGCCGCACCGCCGCGCCGCTCACCCATTGGCTGGCACCGCCTCGCGCCAGCGGCGGCGCCGGGCGCGTGCGCTACGTGCCGCGGACGGATGGAAAATCCCGCGGCAAGGGGGGCGGGGCCGCACGGAGCGAACCACTGGGGAGAGGGGGAAGGGGAGCAGAGCGGAGCAAACCATGTGGGGCTACGGGGGGGAGTGGGGCGAGCCCCAGGGGTTTGGGGGTTTTGGGGCAAGTCCCTGGGGTTTTGGTGTCCTCCCGTAGCAGAGCATTGCAGGTCAGCCACGGGGCTTTTCTGCTTGCACTGGGCGTGCAAGGAAAGGGATTCCTTCCCTCTCTTTGCAGCAAAAAGCAAAAAAAGCAGCAAAAAAAAAGCAAAAACAGCAAAATGTAAAATAAAATAAAATGAAATAAACAAAAGCAGCAAAAAGAAAAAAATACAAAAAAAAAAAAAAGCAAAAGCAGCACAATGCAAAAAAAAAAAAAAGTTGAAAAAAAAGCAGCAAGAAGCAGCACGTGGTGGACACGGGGAGGGCTGGGCAGAAGGGAATTTTTATTAGGGTACGCTCAGTCACACGGACAATAAAATTTTATTGGGTTTTGAAGTGAACGCCCATCAGATTTCCGGGGGGAAGCGGCGGCAGCAGCACTGATGCCGCCGGTACCACTCCTCAGGCACCAGCTCCGAACAAAAGCTTTTCATCCCAGCTCTGCACAAGGGAACTGATGCCCCAAGGCATGTAGACCACGTTGCATCTAAAATATAAATAAATAAATAAATAAATAGACAAATAAATAAATAAATAAATAAATAAATAAAATCAGAGCTCAGCAGCTGGCCACAACGTTATTTTCCCAAATGGATGCGGCGATGCAAGCTCCTGAAAATCTCCAATCCCTCCACAGATGATCTGCAGACAAAAGCATCAGGTTATTCACTGATAATTATTTAGGCTGCTGCGTTGTGGTGAGGTGTGAAACTTGCTGTATAGGTTAATGATTCTTTGGGGTGCTGATCCCCCAAACTTGTGTTATTGCCTTTGTGTTGGGGGTCGTGGCAGCTGCTCCTGACCACCCTGAGGCCTTATCCTGCCTCATGCTCGCTGCATGAGGGGAGAAATCCTTGCAAAAAAGCTCCTGAGTGGTTTTGTAAAAGTGCCTTGGAAATCATGCTGAGCCTTGTAATGGAGCCGGAGCAGAGGGAATCCTAATCCTAAAAGCAAGGGAAATTCAGCATGGCAATAGCTGAGCCTGACAGTGAAGCATGGCGGGGGCTCTCTGGGAGTAAAGACATATAGCAGGAGAGGTCGTGATTAGCCTGGGGCACACAGAAAAGCAAACCCTCCAGCACCTCCTGTGCACCCAAAGCCCTGCCAAAAGACCCAGCTTTGCCACTCATCCCATGGCCAGGCTCTGTTTTCCCTCCAAATGCAAAACCAGTGCGAAGCAGGCAAATTGACCCCAGCAGTGTGCAAGCAACAAGCTTAGCACGGCATCCCTTTCGTGCAGTAGCTGGAGGCAGCCCTGGCCTGGCACCGTTGAGGTGTTGGTATAGCTTTCCCTGGGTCAGCAGATTTTTTCAAGCTGTGCTGTGCCACACGGAATCAAACAGAAGCGCGAGCTGGTATGAAGAGTGCCCCTGCTCACTCATGTGTCTTCTCATCCTCTCTTTCTTTAAAGAAAAAGTTGAGCATCCCTGAGGCTATGAGATATCTGGCTGGCACGAGTTCCTGTGGGAGTCTGGGCTTGTTACCAGTTAATCAAATACTCAAATATAATTTTTGGCAGAGGGGCATGTGGCTAATGGGGCAGACACTGGGAACAGAGAGTTTCGGGAAGCATAAAGCCACTGCAGCTGTAATCCGGTTTGACAGCCCAGAGATCCACGCTGATGGAGCAGCTGGAGAAAAAAAACACGGACACGGCTCTGACTTACGGGCACCCCCAACCAGCAGCAGAAAGCAAAACCCACCTTGCATCGCAAGGCCTGCTCGGTCCCTGTGCTTTGCAGTCATGGTAAAATTAAAAATGTGCTCCATGCAGCTCATTTCATTGCTTGCAATAACTCATGAGCAGTGTGAGGCTGCTGGTTCAAACCGCCAAGGATGCCAGGGAAGCAGAGCTTCTGCAGATCAGGACTTGTTCACCAGGGCATTAAAACACCTAAAAACCACGGGGCAGAGCAGGCTGCCTTTCAGGGCATGCGCCTTGGCTCTGTGCATGCATTTCCTTAAGGCTGCAGGGATTTCTCTTCCTTCCCCAGAGCACAGCTGAAGAGCAAGTGTCTGGTGCTGGCTGAGCACCACCCACCTCTGCTCTGTCTTGCAAGCCAGCCTTTTCCACAGCTTCCTTATTTCCATGGGTTTCCTCTGAAAAGCTGTCCTGGGCACAAGTGGCTTCATGGCAGACACTTCTGACCACAGCGAGGGCTCCAGGGAAGGTCACAGGCAGGAGACATTCCCACTTCTCCCCGTGGGCTCTGCAGGTCGTGGTGGCTTTGAGGAACGGTCCTTGGAAAGGTAACGGCAGAGCCTGACTAACGCTGTCTGTGGGCACCTATTACAATTGTTGCATGCCTTTGTGGGATGTCCCTGTTCCAGGCAATCAAAACTTACTCTGATTTTCCAAGCTTCTCAGCCCCCTTTTGTCTTGTGACCTCTGTGTGATTGAACACCACAAATTTTAGGCACGGGAATAATGAAATGACTGGAGATGACAGACCTGCTGGCTTTCTCAAAGTTCATAGCTTCCTCCTCTTCTCCTAATTCTCCTGTCTCCTCCTGGGGTTTTACAGGCAGACTGGTTAGTATCCTGGAAACGATCTAAACCATCTGCCTTTAGACATTCTCCAACCCCAGCTGGCCTCAGGCATGGTTTTGTGTACCTGGTGGTCTCTGGAAGGGTGCTTGGACATTGTGCAGTCCCAAGGAGGTGTCACGGCTGCTGAAGGCACAGGTAGTGTTTGACTGCCCGTGTCTGGGGAGGGGATGCTGTGGGCACCGGGGTGTGTGGAGCTGTGTAACGTGGCGTGGATCCATCATCAGCCCCCACGAGTGCACAGGAGTGTGCCAGGTACGTAATGCTGTGAACAGATTATATTTAAAATACAATATTGCTGTGCAAAAACCATGACAACAACAAAAACAACAAAAAAAGCATATAGAATGGCTGAAACAGGGAAAATACATACTGCTTTTTAACTACTGTAGATGCCAACCTGCTTTAAAACCACCACATCCACTTCCAGGTGGTGGTAGAGGTTTGTTTGGATGTGGACCAACACGCGAGGCAGGGTGCTGCTACCAAAGAGTGCCTTTCCCAATAGCTACCATGATCTGAGGGGAAAGCAAAAGCGTTTAATGCAGCTGGATATTAATTGCCAAGCTCTGTGGCCATCGCTGCTCGCCCAAACCACAAAGTAACCCCCCTTGGTGGAGGCGCGTGGGCCTCGCGGTGCCTCCGTGCCGAGCAGGCCTCACCCCCTCACTTGGACACATTGCTAGCAGGGCGAGTGGTCGGTGACCCATCCAGAAATTACATTTGGTATTTAGGGGGGTTGAGAATAGAACCAAAAATCAGGGGTGAAACAAATAATGACTCGTTTGTTTTCTTAAGGAGTGAATAAGACTTATGCAAAGCAAGAGGGTTATCAAGCAGGCTTCTCTTGCCGCAGAACAGGTACGGCACAGACAGTAGGGTTTTATATTTCCTCCTTGTTGTCTTCCTGCCCTAAAAATCAACTTTGTTCTCGTGGGAAACACTTTCAGCTCCTACTCCTGCCCCCTGCGGTGCACGTGGTCCTGCTCTTGCTGAGCATCCCTGCATGAGTGATCTCAACGATACCCATACAAAATGCAGCAGCTACATCAAGGCTGCTTCTCTGCATGGGCTGGAAAGGAAGCTTAAGGTGACGAACTCATACCTAGACACACAACTTGTCCTCCTGGATCCTAGACCCTGTGGCATATGGAGTAGCTGCAGCCATAACTCCCACCAAAAATGAGCTCCCATGGGCTGGAAGCATCAGTTGTTGCTCACATGGAGCAGTTTGGGCAGCAGTGATCACGCAGCTCCAAGTCCCTCAGCAGATGCACTCTGCCCTCCCACGTGTGCCTCTGTGCCAACAGCACGCTGAGCAAGCCTGAAACACACTCACCGCTGTGACTAACCCCCTGTTGGAGACTTCGTGCACACATTTCCTCCCTGTTAATGTGAAGCTGTGGAAAACCCCTCTCTTGGTCTGTTTCTTTCTTTTCTCCTGGAACAGAGGCTTGCCAACATCCATGTGCTGCTCCATGGGGGAGCCCCATTCCCACCCATTGGTTCTCTAGTTTCCTCTATCTTCCCATTCACCTGTCACAACAACAGCAATCCCAGTTAACCACTGGAGTCCCTTTACTCAGAGCACCTCATTACAGTCCCATTTCTCTGATTTCACCCCTGTATTTCATAACCCAAATCCACATCCATGCTGCTGTCCCTATCTTTCACATCTACCAACAAAGGCTTCCTATACCTTCAGAAAATCCCCCCAAAGCCATTTCCTTTAGCCAGGCTTTGATGAAACATCCCCAGACCACCTCTAGCACTACTGTGCCCTCCCATACAGCTCCCCAGCCTCTGACCACAGCCATCCCACCCCGGGGAGGACAAGCACAGCCCTCAGCTGTGGCCTCACCATCAGAGGCCGAATAAGCTGCAGCTTCCTGATGGCCCCACCACAGCTGGTGCTGAGGGTCCTGCACTCTGGCCTTAGGGTGGGCTCATTCCCTCCCTGGAGAGCTCGCCAGCTGATTTCTGTGCTTCATTATTGCTTATGGAGAGAGTGATGTTTCCCCTTCTCGCTTGTGCTGTTAGCATCACCACCTTCATCTGCCCCACTGAGCCGTGCAGGGTTAACGATTAATGTTTGCACAGCCCTTTGAAGACGTGAAGGGGCTCTGTTTTTCTTGCTATGCAGGAGAGGTTCTGCACCAAACCCCACCGTATTGTGTTTGGCCGCTGGATGTCACAGCTGCTCAATGCACCATGCAGCGGAAAGGAGGAAGGAAAAGTGCTTGCGCAGCGATGGGCAGCGGCCGCCTTGCCAGAGCTGCTCCGTGGAGAGTGCTTGTTTGTTAAGGGGCTCGGGGTCTTTGCGAGTGTCTACACCACACTAATATTGATTTCCAGAGAGACCGAGCAGCAAAATGCTTCCTCTGCATGGTATAACACTGAGAAATTGGGAGCGCAGCCAGTGTTTTTATGGAAGGAGGTGCAGATACATATAAAATATTAATAACGCAGCGTCTCAGAAGATGAGCAGGCATTTGCACACACTGCCAAGCTGTCTTGTCACTGAATGGTTCCTTCTTATCCCACCCACAACACCTTTGTGTGCCTTGCTGGAGGCCTGACACTGACTCCACGGGGCTGTGCCGTGGGCCCTGGTGCGATGGAAACGCTCCTGCCAGCACCCTTCAGGCCCGTGCCCAGGCCACATTGCTGCCTGCCTCCTACTACAGGCAGAGGGAAGATCTGACACTGGACACTGAAAAGGAGAAAGGGTTATATTGAAACAGAAAAGGGGAAGTTGAGCCAATTAATTTTGAGAAGAGTGAGTAAATCTTTGGAGATACTAATCAGTTTAATAGAATAGACTTTATCTTTGAATTCTCGGTAAATAGTAATCGCTTGCCTAGAGCAGTCATCTGCGAGGACCTGTGTTAGCATTATAGAAAAAGCTCAAAAGAAAACACTAGCAAACTTTACTACTTGTGCTGAATTATTAGGATTTGTGACACATCTGAGTTCATTTTTTTCATGGTAATTCTCAGCAGGTAGTGGGAAAAGCAGCAAGTATTTTGCCAGTAATGATTCTTCCAAAACTTTCAAAGAAGAGAAGAATCAGGAAGCAAAAGAAAAAGAGACACCTCATAAATCCAAATGTGAGTCAGCCTGGGTGATGATGGATCACACACCGGAGAAAGTTCTAATGACATACCAAATGCCCAACAGGTTAGAAAACATCAACAATTTGTGACATGCAATTTGGAATTGTGCATGAAAGAACTGTAGAGTTGACCTTTCTGTGAAGCGGTGTGAAGTTTATGAAAAGTATATGCTGAACAAAGTAGGACTTCACAGCTCAGAATGTTAGTGCATGTCATAAAGGCTGATGTTGCCCAGAGACAATTCCTGACTCTTTAGGTTTATTCATTTTAGATGCTATCAGGAAGTACCTGGGACTGAGATCAAGTATGCTAGTACTTGATACAGGGATCAAGGAATACGAAGGCATCACAGAATATCCTGAGTTGGAAGGTATTCACAGAGATCATCGAATTCAACTCCTGGCTTCACACAGGACCACCCAAAATGGAATTCTTGGGTTGCATATTTGTCGCTTTGTACCATTATTTTAATCCCATTGTGCTGAACTCTAAGAAAATACTATGCTGCTCACAGAATATTTGCAAAACATCAAGAATTTATTAATTTCCAAGTAGCATAGAGTTTAAAGTTAGGAACTGTCTTCAATTTCCTTCATTCTCACTTTAAATCAGGCAAATCTATATACACGTTTTCAGACATATGTATAAATTACGTAGCCAAACTCAGAGAGTTTGTTTTCCTCTTTACACACAGTATTTCCAGAAGCATTCAGAAAGGTTCCCACGTTTCTTGTACTGTTTCCTGTCCTTGGTCAACAGGCGGCCCAGCAAAGCAATTCGTGGGTGATTTCCGTAGAAAATCTGAAGTTAAACAGCATTAGGTTACTAGTGGGTGGTAAACAGAGAGAAAGCACGCTCTTCACTGCCCCCATCTGATCACCTCACAGTGTGTTCTGACTGGGGAAAGGAGAGGAGAGGCTGCCCAGTGTACACCTCAGATTTTAGGTGATGTAGTAAATATAGTCCACGTCTTCTGCCTTTATGCCTTTATGTCTGTCTTCTGCCTATGTTCGCCAGCAGGCAAGAAAACAGTAATGATGTTCTCAAGGCTTATAACAAATCTGAATGTACTGTGTAGCCTATATTGTAGTGGGTGAAAAGTGACATGCAGCCTTATACTGGTTGGTGTACTAAGTAGGCCTGCCAAAGCTGGAAATCGGCCTTTTGGCCTTTATTGACAAAGCTTTTATTATTATTATTATTATTTATTATTATTATTATTATTATTATTATTATTATTTATTGTTCTTTTCCTTTTTTCCACTGCAAACCTGACTGCCAAGTGATTCTAGCTTCAAGAATTTTGTGGCATACTTTAGTCTGTGCTGTTTATTAAGTCTGTGGATCTTAAATGATGTCTTCATAACAACTCTGTGTAGTTTAAAATATGGGGTCTTAATTTCTTGCATTAGTGGAAGATGGTCATTTACTTACCTCTTTTACGTTTTCCCTTGTGTTATAGCTGTTGGAGGTAAGATCTGGTAGAGGGGAGACAAAATGAAAAGTTTTGTCATTTAGAAATAATGAACATACACAATTAATTCATGTGTGCCATAATGCTACAACTGACAGAAGGCTTGAACTGGAATGTTCAGAGTACCAGAAAGGAAACCCTTTTGTTGCAGCACGACCAGTTCTTGCTGTGGCCCATCATTCCTGCCGGATCCGAGGTACAAGCTGCAATATGTTTTTCAGCAGGCCTTTCTTGTATCTGTGGACCCCCAAATATTCTATGAGTATTAATTCTGCACTTTCTGCAAGCGTTGCTCTGATTTTACTATATGGTGGTTTTGCTAAACTAATTTGAAAGCTTTTCCAGCTACTACTAAGCTGCAAACATGGCTGCTCAGCAGGTTTCCCCAATGTCTCAGTTAACTAAACAACAGGGGACTGTTGCTTATGCATAATGAAGTACTTCCATTAATTGCCTGGGAGCTAGGATGCAATATATGTGAATGCTTGCATCCTATTGGCACTACTGGCATACGCAAACTATTGGCACTCTGCCATAAATTGCAGTGGTAAAGCTTCACCTGCTTTATTGTCTTCAGTCAGTGTACTCAAGAGATCCTGCAGAAACTGAAGCAGAGAACTGCTGCCCAGCCGCTCCAGGTTTAATCTTGAATCTTCGTCTGCTGCAAGTAGAAGATGACAGAGACAGGCATATGGTAAGGGTATTTTGCTTTGAATCCCTGTTTCATTCAGTGTCAGATGATTTCTGATCAGATATGTTGGCTCCACCAACAAATTATCTTGAAATTTTGAATTATGCATCCTCATTTAATGAATACAATAGGGAATAGTTCTTCCTTTCAGAGCTTTGACAAAAGTCACCTGATGTTAATCTCAGATTGACATTTCTCTGGTAGATCTTTCTTTAAGATTTTTTTTTTTTTTTTAATTTAAACTAACAGCAGCCTCTCACATTGCTTGGAGAAATAATAAAGTAATCCTTCTGGTACCAGCTATAGGGACCTCAGATTTGTATGGTTTATTTATTTTTTATTTTTTTTTCAATCCATTTCTGTATCAACTAGTCCCTGCGGTAGGTTTATCTATGAATAAGGATAACATTTCCTCTTCAACTCTTATTAACCTGCTCTATTTCCCAACTATTAAATGCAATAAAATGGGGAGAAGGGCAGGGGTAATAGTTCTTGGTACATTTCTACCATTTTTCTCAATCAAAGTGCGTACCAATACAGGTCACCAACCTGTTGGTTCATGAAGAGTAATATACCTGATGGAATTGATTTGTATGTGCATAGAGAATTTATAATTCTTTAACCAGCCTGTATCCCCAAAGCTGGTTGCAAACAGGAGCTCTTAGTGGTGTTATACTTGAGATAACATAAGGTTTTTGTAATCTGAACAGTAAATTTAATCTCTGCTAATGAATAGCAGACATTCAAAATAGTGGACAATGAGAGGGAGGTATTGTGAAACTCTAATTGTGTTTATTAATATATATATTTTTAATTACACTGTGGATTGTACTATGGAGTTTTAGTTGCTTTTACCCACCCAGATGGGTGAGACTTCTCACTAGGAAATATACAAGAAAACAAACTGTTGCAAATAACCCCCCCAACAGTTCAAAAGCTTGTTATGAAGATATTTGCAGACCTTAGACATCCAGGTTGTTAGTTTGTCAAATGTACAAAAAGACAGCTGCAAAGCACAGTGGGGATTTCAGTTTAAGACTGAATACGAATACTATAAATTCCCTGTTCTGTGTTGAGCCAATTCATATCTCAACCCCCATATTGTTTTTTCATTCAGAGCAGTGTTGGCAAGCAACTTTCCTTTGAGATTTAAAAACAAACAAAAAAAAAAAGAACTCTCTTCAATATAGAGTTCTGTTGCTGTTTTACCAAGCCTAGCAATTTTTTGTATTTGCAAGTAAGATTAAATAAGCCCAATGAGTCCAAGATTTACAAAGCAAACCTATAAATGTATCTTTAAGGTCCCTTCCAACCCAAACCATTCTACAATAAAACAACACAACCACTATTTCACCTGCAAAGTGGTTCTACAATGGCTGCTTTTTCGTAGTTGGCTTTGTGAAAGAATTTAGTTTTTGATTTGCCTGTTCCTACCAAGCTCATTTCACAAAGTTGTCCAGCACTGGTTGGGTCTGATGATAGTAACCCTCCAGACTCTGTGTGCAATTTAATGATACATCTTAGTCTTGACCTACAGTATGACTTCAAAATTTGAACGGCAAAGTTTAATTCTTTCACTGGGCTGGATGGAGTCTGCATTAGTGCAAGTAAATACATTGCTATTTTTGTAGCATAAAGCAGGCTTGCCTGTTCTTGATCTATATAGGACTGCAGTAAGCTACCCCCTTTTAAAATATACCTTCAGTTAAGCATAACTTTAGTTAAGCACAGCTCATTTTAAAGTGTGGCAAGTGGAGAGACAAGTTTCTTTAAATTACCTAATGCCTACCTAAGCTGCTTCAGAGATAGGTGCTGTATCTGTCAACTCACATTCAGCAAACAGATCATCTCTTGGATCTCAAAGCAGCAGGAAAAAATATATAGGGCCCCCAACCTCCCCATTTTACAACAGTAGCACCCACCAATGATATTACTCGTGCTGCCAGAGTTCTGAAGTCATTCCTGCTTTTTCTCCAGCTGATCAGCACAGATAAAGGTCCCCTCTGAAGGCATACATGCTTCTCTTCTGGTTGCAATGCTCCATCCACTGTTTTATGAGCACTAAAATCAAAAGACTCTTACCTGAGAGTTGATGAGACATCTCACTGGTGTTGATGGTGGGGAGAGAAAAGAGAGGACAGGAGAAGCTGATGATGATGAGACAGCAGAATACCAGCTTGTGCATTGTTGCTGTGTTGAATATATTTTGTCTTTGTCGACCCCTGGAACTATGAACTCCTGTCTCACTATTGCCTCTGCTCCCAGTTTTACTCGTTATATAGCTGCTCATGACCTCATAAATATCATCATGCCTCCTCCACTCCCCCCCCACCCCCGCCAAAAAAAAAAATAATAAAAAAAAAATCCAATGAATTTATTGCCCATTGATTCTAAATGGAAACCACTTTGCATTGATGTAATTTTTCAAGGTAACAGTTCACGGACAATAAATTTACTGTCTTACAGCTTGGTGTACAAAATGGATATTATATCAAACCAAGCACAGTAAAGTTTATATATCTGGCATAAAGAAAAGTAACTTCCAGTTATAAATCATGAGTTAACAAAAGGGTCAGACGTTGGTTGAAATGACCAGGGCTATAAGACAGCTGATTTATGAGCCCTAGCAAGCTTGACGCAAAGCATCTGATATGAAATATGCTTTTTTTTTTTTTTCTTTTGTGAAATGGATGGATGTGTTATGTTTGGCATTCTTCTGCCAGAAGAAGCAAAAAAGGAAAGCTAAAGTATCTAGCTAATTTACATTAAAATGTTAGTGTAGTGGGTTGGTTGGTTGGTCGATGCTTTTTTTTTTTGTTTGATTTGGTTTCCTTGTAGTATTTCACATCTACTTATTTGAGAAGATCTTATCCAACGTTGCCTTAGAGAATCATCTTGACAGAAAAGTAGAGCTTCCACATGGAGACTTGCTTGAATGCATGTAGACTACTTTGGCTGGTATTGAATGCAGGTGCCTCGCTGGACTGGGTGTCCCTTTTCCATTTCACTTTATCTTCTGTTTTCTTTACTTCCAAGTAACTACTTTATTCTGTGTACTATCATTTTTTTTTTATTTTTTTTTTTTCCTTTTTGCCTTTTGCTTTTATTTAATGCTATGAAGTGACTACCATGCTTAGTGTATTAATCTTACAACTTTAGCTTGTTTCCATCTATCTGATACATTTCGTCTTCTCTACTTACAATTTCATTTTTATATCTAAGAACTCACACAATTTATCTTCATTCTCTACAGAGCATCATATCTAACAATCTAGAAACTTTAGAAAAATAAAAATTAAGAATTTTATTTGAATTTTCTTAAGTTGAGAAAAGCTGATGTGTGTTCAGATTAGTAACAGAGGTTCTATAATTTTCTTTTCTGCATCTCTAATCAAACATTTGTGCTTTCAAATCTGTTTCAAAATACTATGAAATCTAACTAATGTCACTATTGTTTTGATATTTTTAATTGTGATAACTGTAAGTTCCACAAGTTACCTGCTTCCTTCTTTCTTTGTTAACATTTCCTGTTGAAGATTAAATTTTTATATCATGAATTCTGTGGCTCCTAGAACTATCTTAAAATTAGCAATATCTGTTACATTAGAATAGCTGGATTTCTGCTGCAGATTTAATTCAAAGAAAGCATGCTTTACATGTGCATGGTTAACAGGTTGTCCAGAGAAGCTGTAGACTCTGTGAATGACAGAATGATTGCTGTTAGAAGGCACCTCTGCAGTTCATCTAGACTAATCATCCCGCTTGAAGTATGCTAAGTCAGAGCAGGTTGCCCAGGAGTGTGTCCAGTCAGGTTTGACCAGCTCTAAGGATGAAATGGAACAGAACTTCAAAACTCAGTTAGACAAGGTCCTGAGAATCTCCATGTAAGTTCAAATGCTCTGCTTTGAGCCCAGAGACAGGGTGAAAGAGGTGACAGAGGACCTTCAGACAAACCTCATTTCTATATAAGTTCTTCTGTTATCCTGTGTGTATGGAGAGGTCCAGTATTGACTTACAGAACTCATGCTGCTGGTGTCTGAACTATAAAACCTGTTTCTCTGGACTTCGCTGAAGTGTGCGGATGTGACAAAATAATTTTCCTACAGAATTAACCTAATACATTTCATGTGCCTCTTTCCCTGTGCTTCCCTACAAGATAAATAAGTAGGTAGAGAGGAATTCTCTCTCCTCATCTGAGTCATGCAACATTTCGTTCCAAAACTGCGGACAGTTATTAGGTCTGATTTGATGCATGATCTCACCGTTGGTGCTGGATGCTCTGTACAAATGCTTCTCCTTCAGTGAACTATCAATGACAATGCCATTATCAATATTCACTCTGAGCATCCTCCAAGGAAAGTTAATGAAGCACTCTACACGAGCAACCTTACGTCCTTTGTCTTCTGACGAGGAAGACTCAGCCTCTTAGAGCAATCATGAAGTGCGTCATGTAGAAGTCAGGCAACTTGCCCACAAATTATTGCCTTTACTCAGATTTGAAGTTGTCACTTAAACACTCCTTCTTCCACCAAAATGTCAAAGGCATTTTCCTGAGGTGACAGTGCACACGTCATTAAACAAAGCAAAGAAACAGCTCATCCTAAACAAAGGTACAAAACCGGGAATACATGGGTGAGGGAAGTAAACGTGAATTGCATTTTGAAAATTTGAGAATTGATTTTCTCATCTCCCAGCCTGCTTGGGGTTGTTGTGCCCCAGGTGCAGGACTCGGCACTTGGCCTTGTTGAACTTCCTACAGTTGACCTCAGCCCATAGGTCCAGCCTATCCAGACCCTCCTGCAGAGCCTTCCTACCCTTGAGCAGATCGACACACACAACTAACTTGGTGTCATCTGCAAACTTACTGAGGGAGCACTCGATCCCCTCATCCAGATCATCGATAAAGATATTCAAGAGGACTGGCCCCAGTACTGAGCCCTGGGGGACGCCACTAGTGACCTGGCTTCCAACTGGATTTGACTCCATTCACCACAACTCTTTGGGCCCCAATTCAGAAAAGATTCATTTTTTTTCTGAATTGGGTTAAATTAACTTTTGGGTGGCTGTATTCTTTAACAGGTAGCCAGCGTGCCTCGACTAGTAACATGTACCTAGTTCTTTCAGGCTATTCTTCATAGAAAAACATTCTCTCTCTGCTCATGCTGGTTTTGTCCTTTGGTCGATTTAAGGGAATTGATAATGAAATTGCTTCCCCGGAAGGTGGCGCTGAGAAACCTTCTGAACAAACCTAGAGTGCCTCAAGAGCAGAACCCGGCATTGAGTCTAACGGTGGGGCGTAGACTTAACATTTAGGTCTCTAATACAAATAATTTGAGGAAAAGTAGCAGTGGGGTGATGTTTTTTTGTTTGTTTGTTTGTTTTTTGTTTTTTCTTCTGTTCGTTTTCTCTTCTGAAAAAAGCTTGTTTTTCTTCTCTTCTTGTATTACATATACCTTTCTCAGCTAAAGATTATTTATTTATTTCTTTATGATTGTAAAAACAGATTAAATAAGGTTAGAAATTTTTATTCTGGAGGAAGTCTCCATCCAATGTATTTCTTATTTTTTTGTTTTGTTTGTTTTGTTTTTCCTTGAGTAGTTTCATTAAACAGGAGTCAGCATCGTGCTGCTGATGTTAAATCTACACTGGGAGTGTAGAAGCATTTGAACAATCCTCTCAGACATAGAGTTTAACAATTAGGTTGCCCTGTATGGAGCCGGGAGTTGTCCTTGATGATCCTTGCAGGTTCCTTCTGACTTGGGATATTCTATGATAGCTCTCCCTTGCTCCCCTGCCCTTGTATTCCAGCTTGCTGAGAAAATTATATCCTCAGCAAATTGAACTACGGAGCTTAGTGTCATTTTCTGTTTCTCTCTACCTCTGAGTACTATAGGCTTATCTTTGATCTTTGCATCCCTGCAGTTCTGATCTTGAGATCCTAAACTCTCCCTGGCTTCTGTGGGAAGCAGCAATAACCTAATGATTCTTCATAGTTTGGGTGGTGAGGTGGGCAGGTCAGGCTGTTCTTTTGCATTCTTTCTAGCTTAAAGCAATAAATTACAAGAGATGGTGAAGCATAAGAGTTGTCTTCTACACTTCCCCACTTGGGACATTCATGCTTAGTTAATTGTATGATGATATGCCTTGTTGGTTTCTTATTACAAAACAATTTATTAGACTTATTAAGATTTTGCTGCCTTTGAATATAGTGCCCTGGTTCATTAACTTAGGAGCAAGAGGATAAAGCCTGGAATTTACAGTGAAGGATGGGTTAGGATGGAACAAAAGCAATTTTGTCAGAGGTGTCTTTCTGCTTTTTTTTTATTTTCTATTCAGATTTTCTCATTTGTTGCACACATTCTTCCTGTTTTTACTACAGAGGCTTAAGATCACTATCAGACTCATTTTTGCAAAATACAGTAGCTTTTGACTCTCCTGCAAGTGATATTAGAGGACAAATTTCAGTCAGTTCTGAAGAAGTTTAGTGCTTGGACAGAAGCCACTGAGTAATTAAAGAGTTCTCCTAATAATCATTGGCATTTATCTGTCCTACTAAAAGGCAGTAAATGAATGGCTAACACAATCTGACTTTAATTCTTTTACTTTGCTTTCCAAGTGCATAATCCTTTTAATCCTTTTTTTTTTTTTTTTTTTTTTTTTTTGTGTATGTGTGTTTGTTAATTAAATGGAATCTCTGCAGGCTCAGTGATTCACATCTCAGGACAAATGTGTATGCTTAACAAGGGGAAAGTTGGCATGGGTCTCATCAGGCAACCTGAGGTTTAAAGCAATTTTTTCAAGGTTATTGTGTAGAGAAATGCACATTCCTTGGCAGTCAGCCACATAGAATCTTCTCTTCATTGTTTAAGAGATGGATTCCAGTTTATTAAATAATTTCTTCTGCAAGTAGTAACTGATTTTCTCCATAATGACTGACTGACTGACTGATCTTGACTTTAGTGGAAGTCCATTCTTGTGGATGGGGGTGATAAATAAGAGTAAGGATTAACAAAGGTGAAGAAAGCAGTTACCAGAGCTTTGTCTTCTGATTTGGCAAATGGAATGTTACTTACTACACTGGAATTAGATAATGGGAGCAAAATCCTGCAAGAACTCCCTTCTTTCCTGGAAGAATTCTCTAGACAGATTACAGTATAAGAGAATTCTGAAGCTTTCTTCATTTATTATTTGTTTCTGCCACAATACTAACATTTTATTTAAATGATCACTTTCTGTGTCATTAGGCATCACTGGAAGAAGGTGCAGAAACAGTTATGTAGCATAATATAATTAGTACTGCCACAGCACTGTAAGTCCTTTGCATATTCAGTAATTCCCTGAGGCATATTTAATCACTTTTGAAAAACACATAAATGTTGTATGTTCCAGCCTCATTGTTCCACATGAGCAGAAGTATTTACAATCATAGCCTACACTGTTGATGAATGCAGAAAGTTAGAGATGTAATGACAAGAGAATAGGTTACTTTCATGTCTGTGGGCTTCCTGAGTCGAGTGCCTGCTCAGATTTCTAAATCCTTTAACTCTCCAGTTAGAGAGGAGAATATCAGCTTCCTTTATTTTTAGAACTGAAACTCATGTTCTGAGTTGAACCATCGAGCATTTGCTGTGGTTACACCT